TGATAGATGTATATTTGTCGTAGGCTGAGGTGCAATCAGCACTACCAAGCAGATCCAGTGTTTTCTTTAAGTTGTAATCAGGGAAATGAGCCTATAACTCCCGCTGTTAATCAATGAAGCTGTTTGCTGCATTAGGTGAAAGTATATGTAAACAGAACTGTTGAGTTATTGGTGTTGATTGCAATAGTCTTGGAGTCAGTGGATGCATAATTAGTCTTTCTTTGATGCAACAGTTGATGGGTAAATGAAATTCCTCCAACCGCTCCTGTGTCATTTGGGTTGGGTTGTCTTGGGGCTTGATCGTGTGAAAGTGACTGAATATAACTTAAGTTCATCCACTGAACGACGGTCTTGTGGTTGGTTGTGGTGAACACTGGATATCCGTTCATCCATCCAAAGTTTATTCATCTGTAGTTGGTAATGATTAATCTACCTGTTGAACTGCTGCTGTAAATCCAGAAAGATTCACATTGAAAACAGAAGAAACGCAGCAATTCTTTTGTAGCTTTGTTTTGTCTGTGCAAGTGCTGGAGTGAGGTAAGTGGAGAGATAATTTTGTAGTCGCTGACAGATTATTAGAAAAGGTCTCAATTTTTATTGGAAAGGTCTGAAACAATCAAGCCTGGAGAATGAGTGGAGTCTTTTGGTGAGCTCGGTGAGCTACTGTACTTTTTATTTGAATGGAAAGATGATATGAATATTTGTCTGCAGCACATAAATGATCCTGGTTGGAGGACAGCTTTAGAACTGGGAAGATAATAGGACCTGTACAAATGTGCAGTTGCCCTTGTTTGAAGTATGAAGTAAAAGCAGGAGACGATTGTTTAACTTGAGTGTCCTAAAGTTTCATTTCTACAACAAAGAAACTTCATCTAACAAAAAACAGCACAGCAGTGCCCTTCAGTGCTGCGGAAACCCAGAAAATATGTTAGATCTCGCTTTGTTTACCAGATATGAGAAGGAAAACCAAGTCCTTTTAAAAATGTTATGGCTTCCTGTGTTACCAGTAAAATAATGGCCCATTCTTTTGACTTAAAGTGAGTCAGACGAATGATATTGCACCTTCAAGCTTTGATGATGATGCCAAGAATGGTATGCATGCTGGTATGTTTTATTAAGAGGAATTATTGATGAATCATCCTCATGCGTGAATGATACATTATAGCCATAATTCTACATGTGCGCCATAATGATGAAGAAAAGTGTATTCTTTTTAGACTCCCCTGCAGTGTGCACCATGGTGTTGCATGACAGGAAGCTGGTATTCGCATGCAATACTTCCAGTCAACAGGCTCACAGGCCTTTGGGATTTTAGCTCCTAGATACCATCTAGGAGCTAAAATCCATTCTTTGATTGGAAAAATGTTTCTCCAGAAGAAGAAATTACTTTTAAATGTATTAAATTCTTTTTCCATTTCCCCAAAACTCTCTATTCCCCCTTTCTGTTTTTACTTTTTTTTCATCAACTTGCTGCATCACAGCATCATTAGATAAATTCCCAGGAAAGATTGTGCTAATGAACAGAACAATCTCTGTCCCTTGTCTCACCCGCTAGCAGCCCTTAAGTTGTTAATGTCAAGTTGTAGCTTATTATACGCCACCAGCCGTCCCTCTCCCTTTAGTCAGCACTCTGCGTGCCAGTCGCGAGCACAGTTTGACGCAGGGAGCAGGTGTTGCAGTTTCACATTTAAAGTGCTACTACTGCTTAGCTAAATTTCTTTGGGTGTCAGCACAAGCCCTTTGCCAAAAAATAAATGAATAAATAAAAATCATACACAGGCTCGTGCAAACATTGCGCTCCCTGTGTCTTGGCTCAGTGGATGTTTGAATGGCAGGGACCTCGATCCAGCAGGTTCAATTAGCGGTGGTAGCTGCTCCGAGGTGTGGCCCCCGTCATGAAAACATTTGACAAACAATCTGGCATCTGTGTAATTGTCTGGCCCAGACAGATGCTGATTGGACGACAGCGCCACGACACTGCACACTATTTTTATTTATTTATTTTCCTCCAGATTGAGGAGAGTGGAAAGAATAACTAACAAGCTTCACTCATTATCTCCCCATTACAAGCTCTGGGGGAAAAAGGGGGGGCGAGGGGTGAATACGAAGGAGGTGGCAGAAAACAGAACCAGGTTATTCTCCTTCACATCACGGAGGTCTGAGCTGGAAAATACTCCAATAGAGCAAACGCAAATGAGTATCAGCTGCGGCCTAATTTGTTTTCCCTTCAAACGAGAACAATCTGTGATTGCGTGTTGGTCATCATATCATATCGTTCTTTTCTTTTTTCTTTTGCAGGATGTCTGCTCCTCACTAAAAACGTAGACGGGCCTAAATTATACTAATGATGATATTTCATCATTCCCTGCAGGCACCGGGGAGCAGAAAATGGAATCTGATTCTACATGACTTAAATGATGCTATCTTTATGGCCAATAAATCCTGTTAGGGGAGTGTAAAAGATAGGCTTTTAATTCTGACTTTACCTCATGAGATGACATGACCCTCTTTACTCTGAGTAGTGCAACAGTTATATCTTAATCTTATTTAACAAATCCAATGGAAGTGGCTCTTTCATGCGTCATATGTGACAACCTCGTTCCCATGAATGTGACGTATAGTTCCACTTATACAAGAAGTTGTAGTGATTTATTTATTTATTTTTGTTAATTTTAATTGAATTAAATTTTTAAATGCAGTTGTATATTTTTGGTTTTTAACAGCACGCTAAAATATTAGCAAAATGTTAATGTGTGCGGGTTCAACTCAAAATATCTTTCAAGTTCTTTTGACTTCAAGAACGCAGTGTAATGTTTACTATTTGTATTTGATTTTTGCATGATAATGGAGTTCTGTGACGAAGATCAATAAATTACTGTATATAGGTTTTAAACACAATTTTATCTGCTTGTAATTTTTGAAGAGTAAAGGAAGGAACAGCTCAGTGTTACTGGTCTTACTTCTAAACGAGGACCTCCTTATCTGTCAATACCCCAAAAAATAACAGAAAGAGAGCAGCAAACTAACAACAACAAAAAAACCCCACAAATATAAAAATGAAATGTATAAGGGACTCAGTGTACAGTTAACTATGATAGTGATATAGAGATCTGGTATCAGGTCTTGATAAGCTGGTCATTTTAAATGTTTCCATGTACATTAGAAATGGCTGCCATGCCTTAAGAAATTTGGTGGTTGAACCTGATAGTATATATTTCATCAAGCCACTGTTCATGTGTGGGAGGAGCTTCCTGCTTCTTAAGTATAAGGCGCCTTGCAGTGAGTGAAGCAAAGGACATAGAATTCGAATTTTTTATTTTTGAGAGATTGACGTTTCGAGGTGTCTCTCCAAAGATAGCTGTTAGAGCAGAAGGATCAAATTTAACGTTATATATCTCTGAAAAGGTATTAAATCTAATTTTGAATGAATGAATGAATCCCTGTGTGCTAAAACGTCAGACTGCTCTAAATAATAAATCGTGCAATGCTACTGTAGTGGAGTCCAAAAAATGCAAATTTGATCGACTTTTAAAAAGAAAAACATGGTTTATGATGGGATATTTTTTTATTACTGGTGGCTAACTGTGCACCTCAGTTAGTGACATTTAAACTGACATTCGTGAGTTCAAATTTAAAACGTGTCACTCGCACCATATTGTGCCAATGAGTAACCAAGCTCTTTATCTAGTGGAGTGGGGATCCAGAGGTGTAGTATAGGAAATAAGCTACTTATGGCATTTTAGTCTGAAGGATCAGATTGGATGTAGTACAGGGGAACAGTCTGTGATCCCCTCTGCAAAGAGATGAGCTCTTGGCTGGTTGCAGACTAAGGATTTCGTCCCTCTCTGGTAGCAGGAGTGGTTGAAGGGTTGTGGATGTGAGCCAGTCAGTGGCAGATGGGTGATGGAGACTTCAGGGGTGTAGCTATGGGTAGAGAATTGTGATCCCCGTGTAGCACCAAGCGCTTGGCCCTCTCGTCTAGCCTGCCGTTGCTATCAGCTCATTCTTGTAAGCAGAAATATGAACCATTTAGTTGGATTTTTTTTTTTTTCTGAAAAGGCCAACAGAAGGAACCAGGTGTGCATCTTAGCCTCACACAGTGATTTAAAAGACCAAAGGTAAAAATCCAGAGTACAGCTGATTTTCTGTGAATATGGAGATGATATGTAGAGACGATGAGTGACGGCTCATAAAATCCAAAGAGACCATAATTTCATCTAAAAATGCCACCCCGGAACATTCTGAGTAGAGAGCTTCTCATTATCCTTCCAAAGGATGTTTTCCCGCGTCCCCTGGCCCTCGGCAGACTGACAGAACTTCAAAACCTAGTTGAACTAATCAACCATTTTCCAACATGGGTTTTTTATTCTTGCGTTAAGTTCATTGTCAATTTCCGCCCTCCTTCTCTTTCAGCATCTTGTCTGTGAGCAACAAAACAAAAGTAATTAGTGTCTGTCATCGCTAAAGGCTTCTGTAGCTTCATCTAATCTTTCCCATGCATACATATGCATACCCAGAGGAGAAGAGAGGAACCTAATGAACTATGTGGGTTTAGAAAGGGCTACAAAGAGAAACCGCAGAGCTCGAGAGTTTGGGAATGGCCCGATGGCTTGTCTTCCACAATGTAATACAATGTGCATCTCAAGTCTGCCTGCTTAGCTGGTGAGACAAATTGAACCTACTCTTGCAGTAGTGTCTCCTTGTGTAGTGACAAGTGCAACTGATGCACTCAGAAACAAGTGGGAGAAGGAAATGATCTAGCTCTTCTGTGAAACAATGCATGCCTCCAGTAATAGATTATGACACAAGTCGCCGAAGAAACAGACATTGAAAAATTGCATAGATGCTCGTTGTGTTTATGAAGGATGCTCCTTGTTTCTCAAGCAGCTGTCTGTACTCACTTCAGTAGTCTTGAGTGTTTTTTGTCCTTGACATGTTTTACTCTGCTTTTATGTATTTATAGTCCGCCTTTCCCTCCTTTTCCCAATGCATGCGCTCAGATTTGCAGACTCTATCCGCGGGATGCTGAAGCTGATCCTGGTGCTGATGCTGGCAGGAGCCTCACTGGCCTCTACGTGGTTCACACTCACCTGTCTGAGCAGCTATACCCACCTCCCTTCCACTTCAGGTGAGTCCACAGCTGCATAAAATCTATGTATACCTGTGTCACTCGATCTTTATCCAGTGTGGATGGAAACGTCTTCAGTACATGCAGGTCACAATAACAGGTCTCACAGGCTGTACTGTATATCTGCTACATATTCATCAAAACCAATCCATTCATTGATATCAGTGTTTGGGCTGCCTTTTCCAAAGCCAAATCAAAAGGCAGAGCAGCATGTCACCCGAAGCCACTAATTTTAGTCATCATCATCCATCATCATTCTCCAAGCCCTGGAACTGCCACTTAGCCCAGACACTGGCAGTCTGCAGCTGCCAGGCTCCATCCACCTGGCATCTCAAAGAGGGTGGTATGACACTGCAACAAAATCTGCCAAAACCAGTTATTATCCTAGTGTGGGACGGTCACTAGCATTTAAACACCCATAAGCGTAATCTTTGGTTTCTGAGAACAAGCGAAGAAGTTTTAGAGGGAAATGAAATCCTCTATCTGATTTATTACCCATGCAACACAAGTCTGTGGGCCAGAAACCCCAAATTCTAGTATAGTCTGTGTCTATATTCTGTGTTCTTGGGTAGTTGTGATCAATCATGTCTCTTTCCTTCAAGGGATCTTCTTAAACCTGTTAGGAGCTGGTGGCATATAGGCTAATCTTATAACGCGAGGCGCGTGTGCAGCGGCTGCAGCATTTGATTTGAGCTCTTTGGTAGCACTGAAGGAAAAGAATCAGGGGGGACAGCTGCCTTTGATGGCTGCGGCGTGGCGGTTGGATTCCCAGTCACAGGCAGGCAAGTGGGTACGCTGGGCCCTCAGAGGCACTGTGATTAAAGGGACGTGCAGGCTAATGGGGAGCTCGTTTGGACCAGTCTGCTGTGATAAGGGAGATTGAGGGTGCCGTGATGCTCCAGGGGTAACTGCTTAATCTCGCCGCACATCCGCTCTAATACACGTGTTTTACTTTAGGGCCAGCTGAGGTCTGCAGCTGGGACGAGAGTACGCAAGTGCCTAACTTACTGAAACATTTCTGATTGGTCTGCAAAGAAGAACACACAAAAACAAACCTGAATTATATTTTCTTTTTCCCCACTTCAGCACATAAATCAGCAGGTGTGTCCAGTGCACACGATTCTCATCATGCACAAAGAGCAAACAAGACGAGCTGTTTATTATATGGACATCTGTGCATTTTGGAAGTAGAAAAAGGAATTTTATTTTTAATGTACTGTTGAATCTGTGAAATGAGTTGCATTTTGATTCAGAATGGGAATGAAGTTTTTTGTTACATACATTTATGGAAATGCAAACCAAGCGCATTAAAAACACCACCCAGGCCTTAGTTTCAAGTACATGTACTATTATATTTGCAGGTGCTCAGTGGAGGGTGCAACCTTTAAAGCGGTCCTTTCTAAAGCTGAGCACATAAAGTGGGAATAGAATAACAACACAGTAAGGCAGAAAAACACATTTCAAATTGCAAAACTGCCACATTAAGCTAATCAGTGTGACACTTCAGACCAGGTATAAGTGATGGTGGGCTTGGGGTAGATGTGACTTGTTGTTTGGGTTACAAACTGGCCATTTTCTGTCAATACACCTCCAGTATATTGCTTTTGTTTGTGTTAAATTGCCACCTGAAGGGCTGGCAAATGAAATGTTGTTTTTAGGATGAGGGTTCGTCATAAATCTCAGTGCTGCTGAAAGCAAATGGTAGAGTACGAAGCTGTGGAAGGTGGAATAAATCACTACTGCTGTTCCATAAAGTTGACCAGTATGGCATCTTTTTTTTTTTTTTTTTTTTTTTTTTTTTTTTAAATTTAATTGCTCATTTGAGATTTGAAACCTTCTTTCATCAAAGCTTCCAATTAAACTGTAGCTTATTCTGCCCCACTCTCTGTTTTCACAGCAATCCTGTACACTTCCTGCATCCTGGTTGGCATTTTTATTAACAGCAGTGTTCCGATATTCTTCGAGCTGTTCATTGAGACGGTGTACCCGGTCCCTGAAGGCATCACCTGTGGAGTCGTCACTTTCCTGGGTAACCTCGTCACGGGCCTGCTCCTCTTCTTCCTCACCTTTTACTGTAAAGGTATGCTCAAAACATAAATGCTCATTCGTTCATTTAATGCGCTCATTTTCACCCCTATTCTGCCCTCGTTTAGTGTCATGGGGTAAGAACAACACCAGTTAAAGCACTAATTCGTGTACTTTACGAGGCTCTACGAGCAAAAGTGTAATATAGTAGTCATAACAAACAGTTCTCATCTCTGAGAAAACAATACTGTTACTGCTCAACAATCCCCTTATGCTTACTTTGAAAGTCCAGTCGTTGCTACACAGCTAGCCCTGCCTCCGTCTTGTTGACTGGGTGAGCTTGTTGTTGTTGTTGTGGCAGTCCTTGACATCAGCTGCCTCTTTAGTATGTTGTTCTGACAGAACGACTTCAACTCCACCATCTTGGACTGCATGTGGCAACACCAGCCTTTGTTCTGTTCTGGAGCTCCACTGTGATCTCAAGGGTCGGCCTTAGGAGGTGGTAAACACTGGTTTCTGAGGAGAACAAGTACTTCTGTCATCAGCTGCAGGCCAATGCCGAGGAGTTGGAGTTCATTCAGCAGCCCGGATGCTCACTGGAGAGGCATCGGATTACACTGATTGCCTATTTGCTTATAATATATATATGTTACAAAATGATTAAGATATTTGCTCGAGACAACTTTATGAACTCCTTAAACTTATTAGGAAATCACAAAGTGTGTGTGTGCGTGTGCCCCAGTGTGCATGCACATGCTCTTGCCCAGCATGAATAGCATGAAAATCTGATAATTATATCTTCATTAGTGTAGTGGCTTTCAAATGGTGGGGCATGAAGCCTCTGCAGGTGGGGTGCAGACAACCAGGTAAGAAAATGTGAAGCGAAATTAGTTTGCATTTTATTTTTAATATGTGGGGGGTATAAAAACAGAGAAGCGCTGCTGCTGCTGCACCGACCTTTATTCTATTTTGATTCAATTAAGATGAAGTTGAATCCTTTTTTTTAATCATTATTATTATTGTTATTATTATTATTGATATTTGATGGAAAAACTCTGTAGAGAACCTTTTCAGCTTTTGAACAGGGGCACGCCAGAAAGTGTGAAAACTACTGCATTGGTGTACCATCACTAAGAGCAGTTGTAATTTCTCATAATTAGATGACAAGTTGGGTTCTTCTTTCTGTTTTGTTTTTGCTTGCTTTGCCCAGTTTCTACAGTAGCCGAACATTAGCTCCCGAGACGGCGTCATTTTTGACAGCGCGGGGCGAAGGACTGTTTTCTGTTCCTGTAAAGGTTTCTCGCACTTCCCAAAATCTGGAGTTTTCATTGTTTACTAAAATCCATTATAGCCCTATAGACGCAGCAGATAAAAGAGGGAGGGGGGGCAGCAGGAAAATTAGGTTTCTGTGGTGCGATTGACATGTTTAGAACAAAGAGAGAAACTTCCTGCTGAAATTTAGCCAAAGCCTCATCTTTTCGTTGCAGCGTGACAGAGTTTGATATAATAACCTGCGTCTCTTCAACCTTTGTGGTTTTCACAGGAGGAAGTGAAAGTAAAACAAACCCAAAAGTGTGTCTGTGTGTGCTTGTGTGTGTGCGCACATGCATGTATAGGTGCGTGTATTTACAACCACGTGAATGTGTGTGTTGGTGTGTACACGGGACCATGTTTTTCCCCTGTGGTCTTTGCCCACCTGCCTTCAGTTTCTCTGTAAGTTTTGTTGTTCAAAGCTCCAATTATCTGCTGTTACACATCCATCACAGACAGGCACTTCTTTCACCCTGTTTGTTTGAATGAATACGATATTTTCAGAAGCCTATAAATATTTATGAGCTTCATTTTCAAAGTCCTTGTGATTGCTCCAAGGCTACTGACAGCGGCTGCCTGAAAACTGCATCTCAATCCTGCCTTCTGGGTTGTTTTGCCAGTGCAGAGGGAATACCAATGTTTGACCAGAGGCCCTCGGGATCCACTAACAAGTACAACAACCAGATCATGAAACCTGCTTGCCTTGCTGGGAGGGGAGGGAAAAAAGGCTGTAGCGTGATACAGATGGCATTATGGGACAATTTCAAGACTTCAGCTAACAGTTTTCATCCCGGGTTAATCTGTAGGTCATATTTGAAAATGGTGAAATGTTGCTGAGGTGAAGTTCACAGCATTTTTTTTGTTTTACTTCTCTTTTCACATTTCCCAAGTGTCAGTAATTTGTTGTGGATTCTTGCTGTGCGGCTGTCATTTTAGGATATTCTTGTTACTTTATGAGCTGAGATGGCCTCCAGCAATTTAAAATGTGTAACTGAAGCACTGCAGTACACTTTCACTGACGTGCAAGTTCCTAGTCCATGTTTGAGCACCTCCTGTCTTCTGAGAAATGATTTTGTCAGTTTTAGTTTACAGAACTAAACGTACCTGCTGCTGTCACAACTTTCTTACCCAGATAGATTTAAAAAAACTCTGAGCTCAGATTGTTTTACTTCCAAGATTACAGCAGCAAAGTAGACATTTGGGACTTCAGTCATCTGATAGAGATGGTTGGATTTTAAATAAAATTTTACAATTCCAATTTATTTGCTATTAGAAGCAGGTTTTCAGTTGCACCAGTAAGTCAGATGAAGTCTTTTCATAGAAGAAAATATGAATCTGTTAGGTTTTTTTTGTTGTTGTTGTTTTTTAAATTAGGATAACTGGTGGAGTGCCTCCCTATATAATCCAGTGATGAAGCGATGACCTGTCCAGTGTGTACTTTATCCACCCTGTGTCAGCTGTTATAGTCTTCAACCACTCTGCAACACTGAGTTGGATAACCAGTTAAAAAAAAAAAAGATGGATGGAACCGGAAACGTGTCAGTACAGTAGTAAATCATAGATCACACAGAATTGCTTTGGGTAGAGCAGCCGCACACATGGACACACACACTAATCACAAGAGTAGGACTTATAAAGAATACATGCTGTACCCTCTGCTCCACACCCGTCTGCAGCACCTGCTGATGGAGTGCTTTGTCTGTGTGTGTGGTCCATTCTTTGCATGTTATTGTGCACTTAATACATTGCTGCATGTCTATGTGTATGCACACATGTGTCTTTGAGGGAAGGTGTGTGTAGGTGGGTGGGTGAGCTAAAGGGTTTCTGTTGTGCTGAGATGAGTCCTGACAGCTTCCTGTGACAGCTGGGGAGAAGATCAAGCTGAGATGATGGAGGCCTTTGCTGCTCTTTTTCTTCACTTCTCACCCCGAAGTTGGGAAGGATGTATCCGAGTTCTCTTGTCAGTTTTCACTGCTGCAGGCATTTTAATTTAATTTGCAGAATCTGTGCCGATTGCCACCTACAGTCTGTTTTACCTGCCAAATTCGCATGACATCAACCATTGTCTGAGGTCAGATATCATTAGTAAGATAAATTAGCGTATTGTGCATATAATGATATAAATGGTGTAATTTGGAAAGTTGTCTGTATAGACGAAGTGAAATATGAGCCTGTGGCCCAGCAATGAGGGGATCTGATGACTGTTAAGTCTGAGATACTTAGCTGGCATTGTTTGGGGTTGTCTCCTTTGGGTGACATGTTCACTTGAAATCAATGCATAGTTGTTCTTGGCGATTAGGGTTTATCTACAGAAACATTTCCTGATTGCAGTGGGGTCTTCCATATGAAAATTATGTTCTTAAACTAAAAGAACACCTATATGAATTTTAAACCAATGTGAAGCACTATACACCACCATCACCATGTCAAATGATGGAGTACCCTTTCCTATCCATTTGCTTCCATACTTCCAGCAGTTTCAGAGACTTATCGGCTCAACTTCAAGGCACAGTGACATCAGTTTCAGCTTACCACAGATACCCATCTATCTGTCTGTCTCATCTGACCTAATTACCACATCAGTGCAGAACTGTTCTTTAAAAAAGAAAAGAAAAGTAATCCTCGCATACAGTACTGTGTCAAAGTCTTGAGGTACTCCTAATTTCTTTATATTTTATTAGGTATATTTGTGCAGTGAGTTATTGGTAAAACACAACATGCATGAAGTTACAGCACAGCCTGAACTCTTTGGCAGCTTTCTTGTCATTTCTTTAAGCAGTCTTCAGGAATAGTTCTCCAGGCTTCTTGAAGGACATTCAAAGCTCTTCTTTGGAATTTGGCTGTTTTTTGTTGCATTTTGTGTCATATGGATCCCACATTGCTTCAGTAATGAGATCCAGGATCCTGGGAGCCCAGTTCAATGCTGATAATGTCCCTTCGAATGTTTTAAAATTCATATGAGTTTGCTGGCAGCACGCTGAGATATGTTTTTGGCTAATACTTCTTTGGGAATCACCTTGTTGGTGCAAAAAAGCATTTTCATCTTTCCTATTTCACACGCTCTGTTTAGACCCAGAGCAAACAATATTGTTTGACTGATGGCCCTTAATATAAAGACTTTGGACTTTACGTTTCCCAATTTTTGCTTTAGGTTATTTTGTTATTTACATAATAATGTAGATAACCTAATAATTATCCTTGTTGCTGTTTTAGAGGAGCGGTGCTTCAAAGGATAGCTGCAGATTTCTGTCAGAATCTGCAGATACAAATAAAATGTTCACGTTTCTCCAACGTTATCTTCCCAACAGTTTCACTGACATCTACGCTGGATGTCCAGGAAGCGTTCGCGATGTCTTCTCGGGAGATGATAATTGGCGTCTGTCTTGTGTCAGTGACGTAAAAGACAGATTTAATGCGACTTGACCATCAAACAGCAGTCGCCTTCTAAAACATCAGATATGTATCGGATTCAGTACCACATACGAAAGTGACCCAGATCGGATTTGAAAATATTGGATTTGTGCCGTTCACACTGTCACACCATGATCGGATACGGGTCGCATAGGGTCAAAAAAATCGGATTTGATGCGCTTTCGCCTGCAGTGTGAACGTAGCCTAAGTTCACTATTTGAGTGAAAATGATCAGGTATAAAGCAGCCAAGAAAAGTCCAAAAGAAAACTTTGAAAGTCTTTCATCGGTGTAACTCTACTGTGGGAGAAGTGTCCGATTTGAGTGTGGATATT